TACCTAGAATATATAAAGAATTGAAAAAATCGGGCTGGGGATTTAGCTCAGCGGTTCGGTGGCCTGCCTTGCAAGCACAAGGACCCAAGTTCAATCCCTGGTACAAAAAAAAAAAAGAATTGAAAAAATCAGACCTCCCAAAAAAAAGATCTAATCAAAAAATAGGCAAATAAAATGAATATTCTTCACTGAAGAAGTACAGATGGCCAATAAATGCATGAAGAAATGCTCACCATCACTGGCCATTAGAGAAATGCAAATTAAAACAACACTGAGATTTCATTTTACTCCAGAAACAATGGCCATCATCAAGAAATAAAATAATAACAAAAACTTGCAAGGCTCTGGGGGAAAAAGGGACCCTTCTACCCTTCTGTGTTATTGATGGAAATGTAAATTAGGCCTGGTGGAGTTGGAGATAAAAAAAAATAAGATGTGCACCAACTCCCCACAAGTGTCACCATTACATCTAACACTGCACCATCTGACTCCAAGTGGGTGGAGAAAAAGGGGCTCTTCTACAACATTTTATGATTGTAAATGAGTACATCCACACTGAAAATCAGTAGGTAGATTCCTCAAAAGACTAAAAATAGGAATTCCATTCAACCCAACTATTCCCCACTAGGTATCTTCCCAAAAGAGTTAAAAACATCATAATACAATGAGACATGCATACTTATTTTGTAGCAGCACAATTCATAATGGCTAAATCTTTGTTGTTGTTGTTTTTTTTTGTACTGGGGATTGAACTTTGGACCCAGAACTGCCCCTGAGCTAAATTCCCAGACCATAATAGCTAAATCTTGGAAGTAGCATAAATATAAACAACAGGTGAATAAGTAAAGAAAATGTGGCATTTGTAAGCAATGGAGCACTACTCTGCCATAAAGAAGGATAAATCTGAGTCATTTCTAGGAAAATGGATGCATTTGCAGACCATAATGTTAAGTGAAATAAATCAGACATGCAAGCTTAAATAACATACGGTTTCTATTATATGAAAAACCCAGGGGCTGGGGATTTAACTCATTGGCAGCATCCCTGACTCACAAGCACAAGGTCCTGGGTTCAAAAAAAAAAAAAAAAAAGATATGAAAAACCCAAAGTATAAATAAATCAACAAGTAAAATAGATAATAGGGAACAAGAAGATAGACCTTATGTAAATGGGAAGGGGAACAAGAGATGGGAGGAAGCAGGGGAGGTGAAAGGAAAAAAGAATTAAAACGTGTTATGTACACGTTCTACTCCTCAGCATGAATGTAATCAGTATGTACTGGAAATATGTATTAATAAAAAATGTTTTAAACTTCATCAAACTTCCTTCCACCAGAAAAAGTACTTGGAAAAAGTTGATCACACTATGGATAGAGAAGACAACAGAGTAGACCTTCGTTGCATCGTTTTTTTAAATACAGGATTTGGTTTAGCAATCCTCCAAGAGAAGTATTCTAGAAAAGTGTTTTTCTTCTATTTAAAAGATAAGCCAAGGCCGTGGATTTAGCTCAGCCGTTTGGTGGCCTGCCTTGCAAGTGCAAGGACCTGAGTTCAATCCCCAGTACCAAAAAAAAAAAAAAAAAAAAAAAAAAA